GGGGGGGGGGGGGGGGGGGAGGAATTGATGGCTTAATTACCATATTCAAATCTAATTAATTCCCCTTTGCATAAAAAGGCCACGGCGGGCGTGGGACCAGCCTTGCAGATGGCGTCTCATGCTCAGCACCATTTTGGGGCCGCCGGCCATCTTAGAGAGGAGGAGGAGGAGGAGGAGGAGGAGGAAAAGGAGGAGGAGGAGGAGGAGGAGGAAGATGGTTCTGCCCACGGCGCTGAGCATCTGCCGGGGGCACCAACCGGCCCAGCCCGGTGTCAACGCTCCTTGGAGGGAGAAGAGGATGTGCCAAACAAAGCAGGAGGGAGGAGAAACGAAGGCAAACCGGGCGGGCAGGGGGGTCAAGTGGGAAGGAGCTTCATAATTTGGGGTCTCCTGGTGCTCAGCTGGGGCTCCCAGTGCCATCCGGGGGTCTCCAGCTGGGATGGCGCCGATCCCACCCACGCTGAGGGTCCACGCGGTGCCCCCAGGGGTGTTTGTTGGAGGGGTGACGAGGAGAGAGCATTCCAGACCCACCTCCAGAGGGTGATCCCACCGGGATAACCCCCCATCTCCCTCGGGTGCCACCCAGCAGGAAGACCCCCGAGGAACTCCAGGCCTCAACCAGCAGACCCACAACCTTCCCTGTCCCTCAGGGGCGTGGGTTTGGTAGGGGAAAATGGGGATGAAAAATTCCTCACCTCCCCACTGGGAGTTCGGGGGGAGCCAAATAAATCCCTGCCGGAAAAACCGACCCGGAGCGCGTGGGCTGCCCGTGGGCACCGTGGCTGTGCCCGCACCAGCTGCCAGGCTCACCCTGGGAGAGGTGAAAGTTATTTTTCCTAATGTTTTGGACAGCTCTGCTGTCACGTGGGGAAGGCTTGGAGGAGGGAGGACCGCAGGGGATGTGGATTTTCTCCCTTGACTGACTCCCAAGGATGGGATGAGCTGCTGCTGCTGCTGCTGCTGCTGCTGCTGCAGGGCTGTGTCCTCCCCACCCCCCTTCCCCAGCGCTGAGGGGGGGGCTGGGATGAAGCTCTTACCCCAAAACAGGCTCCCAGAAAGAGCTGGAAGTCCCTTTTGTGGCTAAATCCCGGGAAAAGTGTGGTTTATTATTTTTTTTGGGGGGGGGGGTGGATTGGAAAGGGCAGCACAGGAGGATTTATGGATGAGGCTGCACACCCAGGTGGGGGCAAGGCCAGGGGGGAGAAGGGGAAAAATTCCCCTTTGTGCTGTTTAAAAGGTGTTTTTGGGGTCGTGGAGGAAAGATTTTTAGATGTAAGTTAAAAAGGGAACAAGGGGGGAAATGTCAATGATTTGGCAACCAAAAGCTGGCAGTGATAGCCCAGTTTTCCACCTGCTCGGGAAGGGGGAGCAACTCAAACGTTCCCAGAAGAGGAAAATATGTAATATGGGGATAAAACCTGAGGTTTTTTTCTCCTCCCTAAAACAACAAGAAGATAATCAGTGCAGCACCTCCAACCTGGACACTGTGCAGGTGAGGAGCAGCCCCTTATCCCCCCAAAATCCTGTGCTGGAGGGAGGTTTTGCCTGGAAAACCCAGTGCCAGCAGTCTGGGCTCGCAGGAGCGGAGAGGAAAGCAAGGAAAGCCCAACCTTACCCCATCCAGGAGAGGTGAGAGGGTGCTGAACATCCTTGGGAAAGCCAGGCCAGCATCCCGAGCCCGGATCCACTGGCGCTGCCTCATCCAGGAGGGATGGGATTGAACAGTTTGGTCACTCCAAACCAGTTCCAGGAGCAGCCTGGGAGCTCCCAGGGACAGGAAAGCCCAGTCCGTGGCACCCAGGGGGCTCCTCCATCCTTGGATTTCCAGGGTGAGGGTGTTTTGGGTGGGTGGAGGGTCTTCCTGGGGCTCTGGAGGCTTCACCCCATCCCTGCTCCAGGTGAGGGGTGTGGGTGGATCAGGGTGATCAGAGCAGTGCGGGGACTTCTCCTCTGCAAAAAGAAAAAAACAAAACCAAAATGGGGCGTTTGGTGACCTCCAACAGTACAGTGATCACCTCCAAACCCTCACTGATCACCTCCAAACAAAACAGTGATCACCCCCAAACAACAGTGATCACCTCCAAACAACAGTGATCACCTCCAAATAAAACAGTGATCACCTCCAAACCCTCACTGATCACCTCCAAACCCTCACTGATCATCTCCAAACCCTCCCCGATCACCTCCAAACCTCAGTGACCACTTCCAAACTACCCAGATCGCCCTCAGCACCCGCTGCTGGGGAGGGGACACCTTAATCTACCCCAAATCGACCTTTTTACCCCCCAAAACCACATCAGGTGGAGGTGAGAACTTCACCCCAGGCTGGCCCCAGCACCCACCTTCACCCCGGGGGGGGCGGGAGGGGGGCACCCACCCACCTTTGCTCCCCTAAAAACCCATCCCCTCAACCCCAAAAATGCCGGGCTGGGTGGGGGACGAGCTGGAGGTGGGGAGGGGACCCACACACACACACACACACACACACACACACACACACATCCCAGGGGGACACCCGAGGGGACGGGGTGTGTGTGTGTGTGTTGGGGGGGTGGCTCAGACACAATGGGGCCATTGAGGGGCCTCTCCGGGGGTCCCGGCCCTTCCTGCCCAGACACAATAGGGGCGGCCCCGCGCGCCACTTGTGCGCTTTGTGCGGCCGCCGCCCCCCGGCCCCTCCTCTCCGTCCCCCCTCGGATAATGGAGCGGCTTTGTGCGCTCGGCTGGACGAGGACTTTGTGGCGGAGAAAGAGCCGGTGTTTGTCTGTCGGGGGGGTGGGATGGGCCGGGAAAGGGCCCGGGGAGGAGCGGCGGGAGCGGGGCCGGGAGCGGCGGAGCCGCAGCATTGGCCTTGCACGGGCCCCGGCGCTGCCGGCGGCGTTCCCGGGGATGGATGCTCCTGGTCCAGCCGGGGAATGGGAATGTCCAGTCTTTGCTGGGAGTTTGGGGTGGGGCAGCCTGGGGACCGGGAGGATGCTGGATCTGTCACTCAGACCCCATCCCTGGTCAAACCCACCCCATTCCACTGTGCATCCAAGTGACCATCCCAGTGAGTATCCCAATAACCACCTTGGTGACCATCCCAATGAGCATCCCAGCGACCATCCCACCAAACACCGACTCCCACCACAAATCCCCGAGGCAGAGGGTTGGTGTCCCCCTGCCTGGCTCTGTCCCTACCCCTACCCCAGCCCCTCAGATTCTCCCCTGGCCTCCATTCCTGGGGTTGGGATCAACAAAACCTCCAGGAGATTAATTCCCTGTACCAGCATTCAAGAATTGGGATGGGATGGGATGGGATGGGATGGGATGGGATGGGATGGGATGGGATGGGATGGGATGGGATGGGATGGGATGGGATGGGATGGGATAATCCCTGCCAGAGCTGCAAAGAGCAGGATTAATAAGAACTAGGCCCTAATTTCACCAGCCCTAAACAGGCCCCTTTTTCCTACAGCATTCCCAGTTCCATCTCAGGCATTCGAGGAATGGGGGAGCTCTGAAGATTATGGCCCTTTGCTGCTCCAGGAGGGAAAATCCAGCCCTGGCACTCCATCCAGCTGGGAAAACCACTGGATTGCAGCCCAGGCGAGCATCCAGCACTGTGTGGGCACACACGTGTGCCCGTGGGGACACGTTAATGCCACGCGTGTGCCATGTGGCCCCACACGGAGCAGGGTCGGGGTCCCTCCGGCAGCAAAGTCTGCACAAAGCAGAGCTGAAAACTGGGATTATTCCCTGACCAAGCAAGCCTGGGAACCTCCCATTTATCCCCTAGGTTGGGGCAGGGGTTTAAACCGCTGAGATTCGGGTTCTGAAATGGGGTCCAGCCTCGCCGGTTCTGCGAGTGCTGATGTTTGATGGACACGTGGAATTTTGTTTCCCCAGATTTCAGCCCGGTGATCAGTTCCTCGATGTGCTGATGGGCCTGTGCTCGCTGTGGGGCACTCAGGGGACATCTGCCAGCCCAGCCCCTTCCCGAGGGGTCAAGGTAGGGTTGTGACTTCTGGAAAATCCCAAATCCCATCATGCCGGGAGCGAGTTCATTCCCCCCCCCCCCCCCCCCCCCCCCCCCCCCCCCCCCCCCCCCCCGCCCAGTCCAACAGCACGTCCCGGGATTCCCACCCCACGCAACGGGTGGCATTTTGAGGTGACAGCAGCCACGAGGCTGGAGGTGACATCTCAGCAGCTCATCCCCCTTCCCTGGGATATTCTCCTGATGGTTTTTTGGGATCCGTGTGGCTGTGCAGGACGAGCATCCCCAGCAGCGTCACCCCGGGGCACCCCAACGCCACATCCCAGGTTCCCCTTGGGGTTGAGCCGGGGCGGGGAGAGAGGCTGGACCGAGGGGATGATTAGGGTGGCCTGTGGAGTAATTATCTCATTGGGCAACTAATACCCTTTCAACCAGAGCGGGGTGGGGAAGTATTGTTCGGGCTTAGGGATTACATCAACCCGCTGGAGCAGACAATGTGCTCCCCCTGGGAAGAGGCAGCTCAGCCCCAGGGGGAGAGGAGGGAGGCAGGGGCTGAAGCTGTCTCAATTAGCGAGTGTCCCAGCCAGGAACGGGGTGGTGGGGGCTCCTGGGTGTAGGGGGGACGTTGAGCATCCTTAAGCCTCGGTGCTCCTCCCGCCAGGGCACTCGGTCCTTCGCCCCCACGGGGGTGCCAGGAGGGCTGGCTGTGTCCCCTCCTCCCCCCACCACGTCCGGTTTTCCCCTTTTTCTGCCTCGTTTTCTCCCTGACAGCCCAACGCCAGCCCCTTCCAGCCTCCCCAAGCAGCAGTGTGGGCCTTGTCCTTGTGGGACAAGGGACCTGCCAGCTGGGGACACCAGAGGGGCCGGGCAGGGGACAAGCAGGGCGCATCCCTATCCCCTAAAAAAAACCCCAGCGCAGGGTGGGGACGCGACAGCGACAGCCCCCACACACCCCCCCACACACCCACCCGCAGCGTTTGGGGCACAGCAGGCCCTCGGCATCCCCACGGAACGGCTCAGGCTCCCGGCCTGGCGTGGTGGGGCTGAGGGGGGGGGTTTAGTTTTGGTCGGGCTGGCGGTAAATCAGGCGTGAGCCCGGGCGGGCCGGCGGCGGCCACCGCGCCAGGTTAGCGGCGGAGCGAGGGGGCCGGCCCCACCTGGCCCCTCGCCATCCGAGGGGGGTGATTAAAACACGGGGGCTCCCAGCTGCCATACATTTTTAAATAAATGAATAATACATAGAGGGGCTGATAAATAAATAACGGCCGCACATTTGAACTTAGCCTCTGAGAAAATCCTTTTAGTTCAAAAGGAGCGGGGCGCTCGGAAAGGGGAGCCCATGCATTTTGAATGGGCTGCCATCGAGTGTCAGGGCTTGGCAAGGGAGACGAGGCAGCGGGGGGAGGGAGGGAGAAAACAGACCTCAAAACACGCAGAGGGGGCGGGTGGGGAGGGACGGGCACGAGGGTCCTTGGGCATCGCCAAGGGCGGCTTTGGTGGGATCGGGCGGCCACGGATGCCCCGAATCCTCGGGAAGGGCGAGGAGGAGGATGGGGGGAGCTGTGGTGGGAGGGGAAGGGCAACCCCCGAGAAAGGTGAGAGGCACGTGAAAGGTCAGGACCCGCCAACCCCCGGCAGTGCCGAGGAGGAGCCCCCGTTTAGAGGGGCAAAGGCAGCGTTTACTCAGCAACGGCCCCATAAAGAGCTGGGTGGCCCTGGAAGGCGGCCCAGACAAATACAAGGGGATTAGCCAAGGGCAAGGTGTGAGCAGAGGGGTGAAGGGAGGGGAGAACCGTGAGTGGGGGCATCACACTCTGCCCGGAGCGGGGAAGGGGCACCGAGGCACAGGAGGGTGGGATGTGGGTGTGGGGGACCCTTTTGGGGGAATCCAGAGAACCCCCAAGGCGGGTGGTGGCACAAACCTGCCCTGCCGTGTGGCCCTGCCAGGGCAGCCAAGCACACACGCGTGTTCTGGCCGTGCACAGCCACCCACATGCGTGGCACCTGAGTCTCTGCCATGTACACACATCTGCTAGTGATGCCCATGCACGTTCTAGCCATGCACAGCCATTCACACGTGTGTCTGGTCCATGCACAGCCACGACACGTGTGTCCCAGCCATTTACACACATGTCCCAGCCATGTCCTAGCCATGAACAGCCACAAACACACGAGTTCTGGCCATCCCCAGCCATGGCAGGTGTGTCCCAGCCGGGTACACACATGTGCTTAATCTGGCACATCCATGCACGTGCAAATTCCAGGCCAGCCCAGCCGTGCCCACACGTGTCCCAACCATGCCCACACGTGTCCCAGCCATGCCCACACGTGTCCCAGGACAGCTGGGACTCTCCCTCACCCTCCCCAAAGCCTGAGAGCCGCCGAGGCAACTTCAAATCTTTAATTCTCCGCTCGAAGCGCGGCCGCTCGCCCGCCTCGCTAAGTGGGTATTGATTTATTAGGCTGTAATTTAAGGCAGAACGTTTTAAAATGAACTCACACACCAAACCCGGGCACGAGAATAAACAAGGCCTGATTTATTTGCTGCCCATCTCGCGGTAGATGCTGTGCTGGGCCGGGCCGGGCTGGGCTGGGCTGGCAACATGTGGGGATGGATGGGATCCATCCTGGGATGGGAGGGCTGGGATGGGAGAGACCCCCTCGCCCCCTGTGAGAGCTGCAAAGCAGCACCCCTGCATCCCACATCCTGCACCCCCTCAGCAACAAGGACCTCCCCCAGGAGCCCCCCCAGTGCTGGGGGGCAGGGGATGGGGTCGGGGGAAGCGAGGGCAACACCAGCAGGGCCTGGCCATGCCCTGTGCCCTGTGCCCCTGTGCAGTGAGACCCCGCTGGCAGCGCCCAGACCACCCCAAAACTCCCCATTAGGGCTCTGCAACCTGCAGGGTGCTGGGCTCAAACACACCCCTGTCCCCCAACCAAGACCCCCCCCAATTCCACCCTCCCACCAACGCAG